GGCACTTTTTTATCCGTTGCGGCTAGTTGCCAAAAATGATGAGATAACGATTTTTCTTCTTGGAAAACGGTGAACGGAAAACGAACACTCGAATATCTAACGAATATTCGAGTATTCAAATACTCGAATACAGGAAATTCCGCTTATAATGAACCCGGTTATAGTGAACTTTCGGTTAAAACGAACTTTTTTCCTTTAATTGAAACGTCGTCCATAAAGACCAACGATTTTTTTACTGGTTACAACGAACCCGTTTATAACAAACTTCCGGATACAACGATCACTTTTTAGGTTAGTTGTATATTAACTTTCCGTTTATAACGAACTTCCACGCTCAGCAACACGAATCGTGCGGAGTTGTTTATATTAGTGGGAGCGAGAGACAGGCAGTGACTTGTTATTTTTGCCGCGTTATGTATGTAAATCGTTTTAAAATGGAAAAACAAAATCGCAAAGCTTTTTCACTAAATGAAAAGTACGAGATTATTAACAAAATAAAAGTGGAGTAAAGCAGCTCCGGCAATCTGCACAATTCCAACGTAAACCGCACTTCAAAACTGCAAATCTAAACCTAAAATTGATCAAATTTAGGTTTACTCACTATAGACACATTAGAGACTCTCTATAGAGACTTTACTCATTATAGAGAGTTGACCATGAGTGGACTGTGATAATACATACTTTATTTATAGGTCTAACAGGACAGTATTTAAGGACTGCATCCCAGTGTAAAAGGACTCTTAGAGACCACTCAATTGTATTTGCCGATTTATTTTTGCCACTTTGCGCTTTATTTCATTTAAATTGAATACTGAAGATCTCTAAACCGCTTTTCATTTTCCTCAAAAAACACGAAAAAACGATTTAACGACGATCTAAAAGCCAAAACTGATATTAGAAGAATTTATGTCGAATTGTAAATTCGAGTTTATTGTGGCATTACAGCAAACTTAAGAAACATGAATTATTAATGAAAACACGTGTACTTATGGAGAAAGATAGACAAAAACTCGTACTTCGC